AATTTGGTATAGCGTAATGAATTATGTGTGTTAAGTTTTGTGAAAATCGGTTCAGATTTGGGTAGAGCTCCTATATATATTTTCTCCCGATTTTAAGTAAGTAAGTATTTTAAGTACATAATGCATATAACTTAAGCAGTGAAAAGTTTCAATGAAATCTGTTTAGATTTCGATATAGCTTATATGTATATATATATATATATATATATTCCTTTACATTGCTTTATATATTTTTGTCCCATTGTAAGAAACAACCCTATATCTGACCAAATGAAAAATTTAGTGTATGTTGCAGAATGATATGTTTATGGATCCATCTCCATGTTAGTGGTCCTTCAAAAATTCGACGTCTGTTAGGATTCATCTGTTGAATATACCCAAAGTGGTGAAGGGTATCATATAGTCGGCCCCGTCCGACTTTACTACTTTCCTTACTGGTTTTATATGCTACCGAATATCTGGAGCGATGAATCGATTTTGCCATTCCCTAGAAAATTTAAATTACGGGTAAATTCGAGCTCTTGGTAACACCGGATTTTTATAACCTACATCAAAATATGATACAGGGTAAACGAAATGTTGATCGTTTATGCTTTTTAAATTTGTTTAAATATTCCCATCTATCCCATCCCATCTATAACTTCGTCCTATTTCATATAATTTGAGCATGAACGATACTACGTACCAAGAGGACTGCTCATTTGTCCGATTAAATCGAAATTGCATAAAGATCCGAATTAAATTAACCCGAGATCAATAATAAAATTAAAACGAGATCAATAACCGTGGTACATATGTATCCATCCAAATGAAGTTCTGTATATACATGGTAATCTATTTAAAACAATTATAGTAATTTCATTTAGCTTCCAAATGGGTTCAGCTTGTTTAATTTTTTTATAGGGATCTTATTTGAATGCACCCCAATCCCTCAGCAACTATCTTGGTTTCCCTTTAGTATACAGCGACTTCAACAATAAGGGATAACATTTTACTATGAGGAAATTTTACACATAGTTCCGAATTATGCAGTGGGTCAACATTGGTTTAAATCGATATAAACGTAGCAGGCATATGTTTTTAGAAGAACTTCTACACAAACTACAATAGATTATCATATAAATGACCCCAAATTATATTCCAATAAACATTTTAAATTTAATTTATGTTTCCTTTTTCAAATTAAACATCAATTTGTATTCAATTTCTTTAATTGCAATATTTTAGTACAAATATTTATTTATTTTTTTTTTTTTCAAAACAAAACGAAAAACAATTATACGAAGCAGAAGATCCTTTTGTGGGATGTTCATTATTCATTCTTTGCTTACGAAAAAATAAACAATTATTCTACAATGCTTAGGTTTTATTTTACACACCCACACGAACACACACAACTACACTCGCAACGAAAACAAAATTGTAATCAATACAAATCGTTCCAAAGTCATAAATTTTTTCTTCGAATTCCATTAAATTAAAATTATTGCAGAAAAATTTCTGTTCGGCCATCCTATAGACCACAGTGTATTTTCTTTGTTGTTGTTGCTGCTGCTACTGCTCAAATAATAGGATTTACAATTCGACAGAAAAAAATAGCAAAAACACAAACAAACGGATATGCAACCTTGGTCTTTATATACAAACAAAAAACATGCACACTCACACACACACTCATCTATAAGAGAGCAAATACGATCACACACTCACTCGCCCCCACATTCACATCTGAGCATTTTTCTTAGATATTTGCAACAATGTCATTCTTCGTAGTTGATGATAAATATCCCACGCAGATGCTCACAGCGGCAACCACAGAAAAAAGTGAAATCGAAACACCAACACACACACACACACACACAGATAGAAAAAATATAAGATTTACAGGACAAACTTGCAACAAATACTAACCAAAGAAAACGAAAACGAATAATAACAAGAAGAAGAAGCAGAAGTTGTGGACAGAAAGGCAAACACTCACGCACAACAATCCACACCCACTCCCACAGACACTCAAATATATGTAGAAATGTATGGACCACTTAAATAAAAGTTCTTACTCCAAATGTAGGACTCTTCAAATCTTGCTTTGCCAAGGCAATGGCCATAAATGGAAGCGCAATGAGACAACCATGAAGTGTTGCGGGACAAACGACAATGAATGACCACACAACCCAACACTAGTGCAGCTACTTGGCAAACAAGAATATCTATGTGTGGGTGTGTGTGTGTGTACATAAAGGGGAAGAATGAAAACCATTAGAATAACTGAAGTTCTTCAAGAGATCTGCTTTTCGTAAGAAGAGTTGGAGAATAACGGAGATGAAGATCAGCTTAAAGTCTGCATATAGAAGAGCTGAAGGGATTGGTATTAAATAAGTACGCACGTAGAAAAACTAAGGACTACTTCGTAAAAGAGCAGAGAGAGTATTCTCATATAAAAGCTGAGGGTTCAAAGTCTTCTTGCCATAGCAGAGCTCAAGGACTACTTTCCATAGAAGACCTCTGGGTCGTTGTTCTTCCCATGAAAGAACTCAAGGTCTTCTGCCCATAGAAGAGCTGAAAGTCCTCTTATAGAGGTTATAGCACCTTTTTTCTTTTTCTCATGGAAGAGCTATAGGTCTTCTGCTCATAGAAGATCTGTAGGTCTTCTTCTCATAGAAGAGCTGTAGGTCTTCTTCTCACAGAAGAACTGTAGGTCTTCTTCTCATAGAAGAGCTGTAGGTCTTCTTCTCATAGAAGAGCTGTAGGTCTTCTTCTCATAGAAGAGCTGTAGGTCTTCTTCTCATAGAAGAGCTGTAGGTCTTCTTCTCATAGAAGAACTGTAGGTCTTCTTCTCATAGAAGAGCTGTAGGTTCTTCTCATAGAACAGTTAAAGGTCTTCTTATTCTCATAGAATAGTTGTATGTCTTCTTCTGTAGGTCTTCTCATAGAAGAGCTGTAGGTCTTCTCATAGAAGAGCTGTAGGTCTTCTCGTAGAAGAGCTGTAGGTCTTCTCGTAGAAGAGCTGTAGGCCTTCTTCTCATACAAGATCTGTAGGTCTTCTTCTCATAGAAGAGCTATAGGTCTTCTTCTCATAGAAGAGCTATAGGTCTTCTTCTCATAGAAGAGCTATAGGTCTTCTTCTCATAGAAGAGCTATAGGTCTTCTTCTCATAGAAGAGCTATAGGTCTTCTTCTCATAGAAGAGCTATAGGTCTTCTTCTCATAGAAGAGCTATAGGTCTTCTTCTCATAGAAGAGCTATAGGTCTTCTTCTCATAGAAGAGCTATAGGTCTTCTTCTCATAGAAGAGCTGTAGGTCTTCTTCTCATAGAAGAGCTGTAGGTCTTCTATCTCATAGAAGAGCTATAGGTCTTCTTCTCATAGAAGAGCTGTAGTAGGTGTAGGTCTTCTTCTTATAGAAGAGCTATAGGTCTTCTTAGTCAGGTCTTCTTTTTGATGAGCTATATGTCTTCTTATAGAAGAGCTATATGTCTTCTGCTCATAAAAGAGCTGTAGGTCTTCTTCTCATAGAAGAGCTGTAGGTCTTCTTCTCATAGAAGAGCTGTAGGTCTTCTCATAGAAGAGCTGTAGGTCTTGTTCTCATAGAAGAACTGTATGTCTTCTTCTCATAGAAGAACTGTATGTCTTCTTCTTATAGAACATCTGTATGTCTTCTTCGCATAGAAGGATTGTAGGTCTTCTTCTTTTCATAGAAGAGGTATAGGTATTCTTCTCATATAAGAGCTGTATGTCTTCTTCTCATAGAAGAGCTGTAGGTCTTCTTTTCATAGAAGAGCTGTAGGCCTTCTTCTCATAGAAGAGATATAGGTATTCTTCTCATAGAAGAGCTGTAGGTCTTCTCATAGAAGAGCTGTAGGTCTTCTCGTAGAAGAGCTGTAGGTCTTCTCATAGAAGATCTGTAGGTCTTCTCATAGAAGAGCTGTAGGTCTTCTCATAGAAGATCTGTAGGTCTTCTCATAGAAGAGCTGTAGGTCTTCTCATAGTAGAGCTAAAGGTCTTTTCATAAAAGAGATGTAGGTTTTCTTCTAATAGAAAAGCTGTAGGTATTCTTTTCTTCTCATAGAAGAACTGCAGGTTCTTCTCATAGAACAGCTGTTGTTTTGTTTTCTCACAGAACCGATGAATTTTTTTCTTATAGATGAAGATCTTCCTATGGAAATGCTTAAAATCTGAAGCTCACAGAAGAGTTCAAAGTCTGCTGACAGATCAAAGAATTGCAACAGTTGAACATTGGTCCTCTCTTCTGTCATATGATTCAAAATCTGATATTCTGATAGAATTGTTGCTCTTATACGATAGCATCTCTTTGTTCTACTACGAAAATATGATGCCATTCGACGAGAAGATGAGATTCTCTGCAATAGTATATTGTTCAATCCCTTTAACAGGATTCTCTATCTAGGATTCCTTCCCGCATTCCGTTTAACATTTGGGATAATAATTGTGTTTACTTTATTTTGTTTGTTTATTTGTTCGCCTTTGTCGGAAGGAATGAAAAATTCGTATAGCATAATAAATAAACATTTTCAGGAAGTGAGAAATGTGGGGCGGTGAGCATATTTTATTTATTGTTCTATGGAGAGTTGAAAAGGTGGTGATGCTATACCAAAAAAAAACTTTTTACACTTCACCTTCTCTGGAAATTGGGAAAAATAATTTTTTTCACTAACATGAAAAATACAACAACAACAACACATATTTAATAAGGTGGAAGTAACCGACAAACGGAAAGTGGAAAACGATAATTATCTTGCATTCAGAATAAAATTGCCGCAGTGAAATGTTTCAAGTTTTTTCATAGTCAAATGACAAATAGTTTTTATTTTCAATAAATAATTTCAATAATACTTCTCATTAAACTTTTTTTCAATTTAAAAATTATTATATAGAAAATATTTTTTCCATATGAAAATAGAATTTAAAATCTCCATTAGAACTAAGACTAAACTTTTTACTCCCTTGTCTTCTTTTAGATTTTATTGACATCATCCAATGCCGTTATTCTTGCATGAACCACAAAATCCTACCTTGAAATCTCAATAGGGGATTATGTATGCACACATACAAAGAAGGTAAGTCGATCATGTTTGTCGATTTCCAGCAAAGCTCCTTGTATTCCTAATATTTGTTTTTGTGTTTCTTTCCAGAGTTCTCCCATGTATGACAAATCAAAGAAGACCTGGAGTCAAAGGCTCAAAATCCACAAAAACGAAAAATCACAAAACTCAACAAATAACGGCTCCGCATCGGTAACAGCATCAGTTTCAAGTGATTCCCCTACAACGCCAAACTTGCCAACAACGTCGCTATCGTTTCGCCAGCAGCCAACACAAGGCGTAGAAGCATCGTGCAACACTCACGTTGCACAGAATGCAAACATATCCTCGGTTCGGTTACCCTTTGCTCAGCAATATCAAATAACTCCGGCCGCCATTATGCATTTACCCTTAAGCGAATATCATGGAGGTGGTATTGGCGGCGGAGCAACGGGCCCGGTTTATGATTATATGACGGGACGCACTATGAAATATGCTGCCGAACCATGGATTTATGGTACGGTACGCGGTGTACCGGTTAGACCAGCCGGCATCTATCATCCAGCATATGGCCATTTTGCTGCCGGCCATCCGCATGCTGCTGCCATATTTGCCCCCACCGAACGTCCACCACCAGCTGCCACAGCCACGCCAGCAGTGGCGGTGGTTCTTTGCTCATGTCCCGAGTACCTGAGCGGCACGAAGGGCCGCACTCTCAAGAAGGCAAGTATCTGTAAGAAATGTAAAGGCACTCGTCTGCCATTGGCCAATTTGGGTGGCACCGTCCGTGTTCAGGGCAGCGTGCCCATAATGCCGAAATTAAGACCAGTTGGTCCATCGGCAACGGTGCGTGTGGTGAGTAGCAGCAAAAAGCAAAGGCCCACTATATTGGATCCTCAAAAAGATCCCTACGATTTAATGCGCCGCACCCGATTACTCTCGCCGGAACCAGGCAGCTCTGCAAAGTCTTCCATAGCAGCTGGCAGTGGTGGTGGTGGCGGCAGCAAAGATAAATCACGTAATCGCGGCAAAAGTGCCAGCCCTGTTAGGGGTCGATCTCGTACCAGAAATCAACAAAAAGCTTTATTAACTACCAGCCACGACAGTCCGAAAGCTGTTTTGGAAACTTTAGATGATTCCTGGTTAATGGAATCGGAAGATATGACAGCTGGGACTTCAGCCAGCAGTCATTCGCGTAAATCCATATTACGTTGTAATGTTAATCCTTATGACCTGATCTCAGTAAATGCCCAAATTCCTGCCGGCTCATCGTCGGGAGAATTCTATAACTCAGGGCCCTCTAGCAGCGGCTCTCCACAAGAGAGCAGCAAAAAATCCCTGAGAAAACAAAAACTGCAATTCTCTCAGAATGAGTTTATGCCACCAAATGATGATTTCAATGTTCAAGATGCTGCCCTGCTGGAGGATGAGCCGCCGCCTTTTGTAAGGCCGTCGACAACAACAACAACCACATCGAAACAACAAAAACTGGAAACCTCAAGGAAAACGGAAGAGGTCCAATCCGCCTCCGTAGTTTTGTCTCAAACCAATAAGAATAAAAAGCCCAACTATGCCAATGTCCAGGCCATTGCTGGGCAGCGTATTAGCCTGGGAGAATCTGGCCAAACTCCCAAATCCTTAAGGCAACAAACGAGTAACGAAAGTGGGACTCAGAAAAAATCCAAAGAAACTGAAGTGTCCCCGGCGGGAGGTTCCCCCAAACAAGACAAGGCAAACCGCCCAGACTCTCTGCAGGTTGGGTCAAATTCAAACTCGAACAGTGGGGAACCTAAGAGGCCGCCACGGACAAACAAAACTAACAACACCAACAACAAGCATCAGGATGAAATGCAGGAGATCAAATCCACTCCAGATGTGTCTGAAGAAGAAGAACTGACAGTTACTGTTACGGTAACACCAACCTATAATATTAAATCAATTTTGAAAAGACCCACATCCAAGACCTCGGAATGTGGTGAGACCGTCTCTCAAAGCGATAAACCATCACCGAGCAACAATAACTCCACATCATCAAGCAAATCAAAGGAAAGCGATTCCCAAACGACAGGAACGCCCACAAATGCAAGACGTAATCAGGCAGGCAATAACACCAATGCCGGTACTGCCAATTCCCAATTTTATGTTTCCTTGCCTCAGGCGCGCAAAAAGGTTCAATTTATGGTCGAGGAAGAATACGCCGAAACCGAAACGGAACCCGAGGAGGCAAACAATGATAGTGAGCCAGACGAGAATGAAGACAACACGACTGATATCTGTTATGAATATTATGAACGTAAGCGAAGTAGCAAGAGATCGGGGGAGGGACACAAAGAAGACGACGAAGAGTCGGAGGAACAGGACGAAGAAACTTTAGATCAGCATGAAGTTCAAATTCATTATGATGAACAGTTCATACAAGCCATGTTGCTAGAGAAGTTACAGTTAGATTCGGAAATGGTAACAAAGCAGCAACAACAACAACAACAACATCAACTTTACAATAAAACCACTCTGCACATAAACGAAAATCATTCAGCTGAAAAAGAAGTAGATGACGACAATGTAGAGGAAGAGGAGGGCGAGGACGTGGACGAAGTCGAGGAGCATGGAGACCACGAAACTAGTGTAGATGCTGATGCTGATGATGATGCTGATGAGGCAACAAATATGGAATTCCAACTAGATTATGAGAAGTTATTTGCCACATTGTCACAACCACCACTACCACCAACATTACCCGTTAACGGGAATGGCGATACAAATGCATCCATTCTCAACAGCACAGCAACAGCTACAATTGTTTCAAATAAAGTGTCCATAAACCAGCAGGACCAGCAACTGCATGGCAGTCCCAACACAATCAAGCAATCTGTGACAACCACAAAAGGGTCGTTGGAAACCACAAGCACCACGACAGTAGAGAGTTCTTGCCAAGCAAATGTAGCTGCAGTACCAGCAACAGCAGTCAGCCAAGTCAACGATATCAAAGGGCAAGCCAGCGATGATGATGGTGATGATAGTGACAACAACGACAGTGCCAATGCTGCTGCCACCACTGTTGATGGTGGTGGTGGGGCGATGGAAGATATCTCCAACCAAGACAAAAACGGCACGGTCTTAATAGATGACAGTGATAATGATGATTATGGTTCGGCTCCTGCTGATGTCGTTCCTCCAGCTACCGTGTCTACTGTTGCTGCTACTAATGCTCCGGCCGAGTCTAAAGACAACAATTTTCAACATAAAACTGCTGACAATATGGCCAAAGTCAGTTGCAGTCCATCATCATCGTCGTCATCAACTCAGTTTGGTAGTGCTGACACCGTAGAACTACCCATTACTCCGACAACAGCCGACAACAATCACAACAATAATGGCGCTGTGAATGATGATGCCGGTGAAGCTGACGACAGCAATGTTGGCAATGTTAATGTATTGCTGTCGCCTCCTTCGTCATCATCATCCGGCCTAGCATCGAAAGTTCCCTATTATGGTAAGTAATAGATTTTTATTACTTTAGGTTTTTTTTCTATGCATGGTGGGGCAGATATGCGAACAAACAAACAAATAGGGTCATCTTCATTTTGGATTTTAAAAATTATAGTGGCAATTTGAAAATGTTTATAAAGAAATAATTAGAAAATTCACGACAGGCCCTTGAAAAAAAATAAAAAATTCGCTCCTAAACATCAAAAAAATAATAATTTAAAAGCCAAAGCCTAGCCCTAAAAAAATAATTCAAAAATCTACACTTATGATTTTGATTGTCCATGGAAAAAAATAAGTAAAACCTCACGCCAATGGCTTTTATATTCCACACTTATTTCCCTGAAAAATCCGTTTAGACCCTAAAGATATTAAAAACAATTTCCTTGGAAAGTGCAGGCTTAGAACTTTCCAGGCCTATCGCTTAGATAGTCCTTAAAAATATTTATTTAGAAAATCCACGCCTATGGCCTAGATTGTCCTTGAAATAATTTATTTAAAAAATCCACGCCTATGCCTTATATGCCTTGAAATAATTTATTTAAAAAATCCACGCTGTCCAATTGGATTGTAAATAATTTATTTAAAAAATCCACGCCTATGGCCTAGATTGTCCTTGAAAAAATTTAAAAAAATTTATTGAAATAATTTAAAAAAATCCACGCCTATGGCCTAGATTGTCCTTGAAATAATTTATTTAAAAAATCCACGCCTATGGCCTAGATTGTCCTTGAAATAATTTATTTAAAAAATCCACGCCTATGGCCTAGATTGTCCTTGAAATAATTTATTTAAAAAATCCACGCCTATGGCCTAGATTGTCCTTGAAATAATTTATTTAAAAAATCCACGCCTATGGCCTAGATTGTCCTTGAAATAATTTATTTAAAAAATCCACGCCTATGGCCTAGATTGTCCTTGAAATAATTTATTTAAAAAATCCACGCCTATGGCCTAGATTGTCCTTGAAATAATTTATTTAAAAAATCCACGCCTATGGCCTAGATTGTCCTTGAAATAATTTATTTAAAAAATCCACGCCTATGGCCTAGATTGTCCTTGAAATAATTTATTTAAAAAATCCACGCCTATGGCCTAGATTGTCCTTGAAATAATTTATTTAAAAAATCCACGCCTATGGCCTAGATTGTCCTTGAAATAATTTATTTAAAAAATCCACGCCTATGGCCTAGATTGTCCTTGAAATAATTTATTTAAAAAATCCACGCCTATGGCCTAGATTGTCCTTGAAATAATTTATTTAAAAAATCCACGCCTATGGCCTAGATTGTCCTTGAAATAATTTATTTAAAAAATCCACGCCTATGGCCTAGATTGTCCTTGAAATAATTTATTTAAAAAATCCACGCCTATGGCCTAGATTGTCCTTGAAATAATTTATTTAAAAAATCCACGCCTATGGCCTAGATTGTCCTTGAAATAATTTATTTAAAAAATCCACGCCTATGGCCTAGATTGTCCTTGAAATAATTTATTTAAAAAATCCACGCCTATGGCCTAGATTGTCCTTGAAATAATTTATTTAAAAAATCCACGCCTATGGCCTTGCATAGTCCTTGAAAAAATCCACGCCTATGGCCTAGATTGTCCTTGAAATAATTTATTTAAAAAATCCACGCCTATGGCCTAGATTGTCCTTGAAATAATTTATTTAAAAAATCCACGCCTATGGCCTAGATTGTCCTTGAAATAATTTATTTAAAAAATCCACGCCTATGGCCTAGATTGTCCTTGAAATAATTTATTTAAAAAATCCACGCCTATGGCCTAGATTGTCCTTGAAATAATTTATTTAAAAAATCCACGCCTATGGCCTAGATTGTCCTTGAAATAATTTATTTAAAAAATCCACGCCTATGTGTGTTGTCCTTGAAATAATTTATTTAAAAAATCCACGCCTATGGCCTAGATTGTCCTTGAAATAATTTATTTAAAAAATCCACGCCTATGGCCTAGATTGTCCTTGAAATAATTTATTTAAAAAATCCACGCCTATGGCCTAGATTGTCCTTGAAATAATTTATTTAAAAAATCCACGCCTATGGCCTAGAGTGTCCTTGAAATAATTTATTTAAAAAATCCACGCCTATGGCCTAGATTGTCCTTGAAATAATTTATTTAAAAAATCCACGCCTATGGTTTCGATAATTCTTTAATTTAATTTTAAAATTCCCTTCCTTAAATGTTAATATCAACAAAAGTTAACTATGTCACCATAACTTTCCGTCACACATTTGCATAATCAAATTCACTGCATTTCTTCAAATTTGACTCCGCCACATTAAGGACTTTTGTTGCCGAACGAGCACACATTTTATGCATTCGTGCCACATTTAAGCGACAATATCCCGACAAACTGTTATCAATTCCCAAATGCAAATTGTTCACCATTATAAGTGTCAAAAGTTTTTGTAATCGGAAGAGAAAAAAAAAACGACACCCGAACTAACACCGGAGGAGAAGACAATGGCTTACATAAACTTTTAGACGTCATTCATAAATGAAACTTGAGACTGGTGGTTATTACCTTGGACCCTTAGCCAGCTAAGTATGGACTTGGCAGTCCTCAATGTGCAACACGTGCTTCATAAATCAAATATTTTGCATCATTTGCATGGGCCCAGGGGCTGACAAAATGATTCATGCTTAGGTTGTGGAGTGAAGAGGGATGGAAGGTGGGTGATAAGTTTTTTTCTTTTTGTGGTCAATAGTTTTAAGGCTATCACCGAGCAAACAAAATGTGTTACCGGCAACTAGTCTAAAACAACAGCCACGAAAAAAAAACTACGAAATTTTCTTCTTAAGTCGTTTTACAAATTGACAAAGTTCTTGCAGGGCTGCCGGAATGACATCATGGCGCGAAAAATCCCAAAGAAAAGCCTAACAAATAACTCCGGTAACTAGACAAACAATAACAATCAGCTCAGCAGCCAACCAATAACCCAACTTTTACATTCTAACAGATGCAAAATTGGTGACAAAGAAAAATGAACGAACAAACGAGAAGAAGAAGAAAAAAGAGAAGGAAGCGCATTCCTATGTAAACTAACTTGACGACATATTACAGATTGCCGCTTAAAAACTATGCCTGTGCGTGTGTGTGTTGCGGTTCTTCGCCTTTCCCCTTTTCCTTCGGTGCGAGCAAATGATATCACATACATGTGATTCCTTGCATTCGGTTTTCTTTTTGTTTTCTTGGTTTACTCAAAATTTCGTTTTGCATTGAGTTGCTGGGTAAAAACAAAAGTCTTTCTTTTGTTAAAGTGGCAATGTTGGCATTACCAAACCACAATGCCAGCCAGCCTGCCATCACCACCACCAACAACAACAGCAAAGGCGACAGCGACAACTACAAACAATGACAAAGTTTTGCCAACATCTTTTAATGCAATTTGCAATGTCAATTTGCATTGTTAGTTTGTTCGGTTCTTGTTCGGGCATAATTTAAATTGTTATTTGTGGTGTGATAGGAAACCGCAACAATGTAGTTAATGTCAGCTGGAAGATACTTGACAATTTTAGAAATTTCATATTTAATAGTCTCTGAAGAATTTAAATCCAAAAACACACGTCCATAGCTTTGATAGTATTTTGACTTTTGTAGTCCTTGAAAAAAATTATATAAAAAAATCCAGCCTTGTGGCCTTGATAATTTTAAACAATTCAACTTCAAATATATATATATATATATATATATAAAAACTTCTGATAGCCCTTGAAATAATTTCTTAAAAAATCCTCTAATATTTTGTGTAAAAAAATCCTCGGCTCTGGCTTTAATAGTCCTTGAAATAATTTTATTCAAAAATTCCACGTTCAGGGCTTTAATAGTCCTTGAAATAATTTTATTCAAAAATTCCACGCCCAGGACTTTAATAGTCCTTGAAATAATTTATTTCAAAATCCACGCCTCTGGCTTTAATAGTCCTTGAAATAATTTATTTAAAAAATCCACGCCTCTGGCTTAAATAGTCCTTGAAATAATTTATTTAAAAAATCCACACCTCTGGCTTTAATAGTCCTTGAAATAATTTTATTCAAAAATTCCACGCCCAGGGCTTTAATAGTCCTTGAAATAATTTATTTAAAAAATCCACGCCTCTGGCTTTAATAGTCCTTGAAATAATTTATTTAAAAAATCCACGCCTCTGGCTTTAATAGTCCTTGAAATAATTTATTTAAAAATCCACGCCTCTGGCTTTAATAGTCCTTGAAATAATTTATTTAAAAAATCCACGCCTCTGGCTTTAATAGTCCTTGAAATAATTTATTTAAAAAATCCATGCCTCTGGCTTAAATAGTCCTTGAAATAATTTGTTTAAAAAATCCACGCCTCTGGCTTTAATAGTCCTTGAAATATATTATTTTAAAAATCTACGCCTAGGGCTTTAATAGTCCTTGAAATAATTTATTTTAAAAATCCACGTCTAGGGCTTTAATAGTCCTTGAAATAATTTATTTAAAAAATCCACGCCTCTGGCTTTAGTAGTCCTGGAAATAATTTATTTAAATATCCACGCATATAGCTTTAATGGTCTTCGAAATAATTCACTTAAAAATCCTCTGATAGTACTTGAAACAATTTTGAAGATCCAGTCAGTCCTTGAAATACATTTCCTTAAAAATCCACGTCTATGGCTTATTTACTCCATGAAATAATTTTCTTAAAAAATCCACGCCTTTGGCTTTAATAGTCCTTGAAAATTATTTTCTTTAACAAATCCTCTAGTAGTCCTAGAAATAGTTTTCCTTAAAAACCCCCTTGAAACCCACGCCACACACAATTCTCCAAAATACCAAACAATTTAATTCTGCTTATTTTTCCCACCTTTTTATTATTAAATACCTCTCTTTTATTTTTTCTCTTTTTATTTTCTTTTCAAAATAATTGACTTTGTTTGTGTATTGTGAAAAAATCGAATGAATTCCATCCTCCATTCAAATTCTGCTTATTTTTCCCACCTTTTTATTATTAAATACCTCTCT